GGTTTGTCGAAAAAATATCGCAAAATAGAGAAATTCGTGAAATGGAAGTTCGTTAAATAGAAGTCCGATTGTATTTTTTTCTCTTGCAAGAAGTGGAATTATTGAATATTAACAGAATTCTCCCAATTTTGGCAGAGATTTATTAAATTTCAGTAAAACATTTTGATAAACATTAAATGTTTAGTATCCGTTGTACTCCAGTTGAATACTTTATATTAAGTACTCTAATTGAATACTCTATATTTAGTACTCTAGTTAAATACCCTATATTTAGTACTCTAATTGAATACTCTATATTTAGTACTCTAGTTAAATACCCTATATTTAGTACTCTAAATACCCTATATTTAGTCCTCTAGTTGAATACCCTATATTTAGTCCTCTAGTTGAATAGCCTATATTTAGTTCTCTAGTTGAATAGCCTATATTTAGTTCTCTAGTTGAATAGCCTATATTTAGTACTCTAGTTGAATAGCCTATATTTAGTACTCTAGTTGAATAGCCTATATTTAGTACTCTAGTTGAATACCCTATATTTAGCACTCTAGTTGAATACCCTATATTTAGCACTCTAGTTGAATACCCTATATTTAGTACTCTAGTCGAATAGCCTATATTTAGTACCCTAGTTGAATACCCTATATTTAGTACTCTAGTTAAATACCCGTTCCTCGCATGTGGTGAAATCATGTATTGAAGCGAAAGACATATACAGACACAATTGATAAAAATTGATAAAATTTAACTTATTCCAATTATTTATTTATTTATTATTTGTTGCCTTTTTCAGTATGGCTGTACATTATTGAATTAAGCAAAACAAGTATTTTTGTAGTTCATCCCATTAGAATAGACATTACCCGGAATCAGAATCACTTGGCATGATGCTACTGCTCGCGGCCATTTCATTAGAATCGAAATTTACCACTATCAAGCAATAAGACACCATATTGGTATTTAAAATATAGTATCGGTACATATTTTAATAGTGCAATAGTAGTAAAATTGCTAAGTAGTGAAATATAGTAGTCAAATATAGTTTAATAGTAGTAAAATTGCCCAGTGTTGGTGTAGTTTTAATAACTAACAAGTATCTCAATATAATACTTTTTACTTCATTAGTATATTTGGTACTTTTTACATATGCCTTAATTGTTTAAGTCTTCTACGAAATAATCAGTAGTAGTAAATTAAAGCTGAAATTTTAAAAACAAATAATATAATTACCATCAAACATTTCTAAGCACTTTATAACATGATAATTTTATTTATCTGACATTTAATAAACTGTTTAAAGTATTTACAAGTAGTTATGGAAAATAGACACACACACACAGTTTCATTCATTTTATTACACAGATAGTGAAATACAATTTGATTGTTATAATTGTTTAAAAATATATTTAATCTTTACAATTTCGCTAAAAGAACAAGGTGCTGCACAGAACGAATTAAACAAATGTTAAAAAAAAATCAGAGATAACCGTATGACCAGGTAATTCAATACAGTATCAATTGATTTCCTATTTTAGTTATGTAGTAAGCTAGTGTTGCCTATCAGTCTAAAGAAAAACTTTTAAAATCTTATTTTTAGGAAAAAAATATCTGTGAAATGCTCTTTCATTGGCGTATGCTATTTCACTGGCTGGTTTACCCTATACACACGTTTTATGATTTACCCTTTTATGAGTTTACCCTATTATTTTTTCCCTATTATTATAATTTTTATGAGTTTACCCTATACACATTTTATTTGAGTAAGGAATATAATTTGCTAATTACTTTTAACAAATTGTTAAAAAAAATTGTTTTAATTTATTTTATTGAATAACGAATTATTTTTACCTTATAAATAAATATCACGCAATTAGATCATAATACTTAAAATAGTTAAAAAATGGAATAATTTATTATCATTATATATTTTCAGATTACTAATTTACATAATTGCATACATATTCAATATTGCAATTATCTTTACAATACCATCCATTGTAATTTTCAAATGGAATATTGAATTCAAAATAATAAGCATTTATTATAATAAATAAGTCTTTTTTAATAGAGTTAATGAGTTTAGAAATGACAAGGATAATTTAATATTGTTTACGAAAATACTTCGGCACTTTTCGAATTTGAATAAAAAACTAATTCTTTGTAAAGCATAATTATCGAAGTCGATCTAATTACGGAAAACAATTGAAAGAATTTATTGCCATTTTATTTCAAAAAACTATTGTACTAAATGAGATTCATTGGTTTTTCCAACTTAAATTATTTTACCTTATCCTTTCAATTCTCGAACACTGTGACTTTTACTGAGAAAAATAAATTAAATAAATATTAAACTTATATTTATAAGACGAATATTCGACGGAATTAGCGAGTTTTTAAGTATTGCATTTTGAATATTTGAATAAGTAATTCATTTGTGTATATTTCTTTGTTTCTGATACTTGATAATTATGCTACATCTTACATTAAAAAAGTAAATATTTATTATGCTCCATTTTGAAATAAAATATGCTTTCTTGATCTATTCCATTTATCTTATCCATGTCTGATTGCCAGTAACTACATGCAAATATTGCCAGTACATGCAAATATTGCAGCATAAACTAGCATGACGTGCAGAATTCAAAACAACTTCGCAGTCTCATTTAAATATAGAAATGCATTAATCATAGCCAGTTCTCCTTTTACGTTACATTAACTAAAGATAAATAGATGCTTAGCTCTATAAATTGGAAAAAAACTGTATAAACTGAAGCATTTAAAATATATATCTGTTCTACTTATTTCAAGCTTTAGAATGGGGGGAAATATTTATTAGCTAAATATATAAATTTGGAAATATAAAGTTAACGGAATTTAAATATTTTAATATTTCCTAACAATATCTTCATTGCTTTTTTTTTAATCAACATTGTTTGTAGGTGGTATTGTCGCCACTTTATCCCAAATTAGAATTTTGTTTAAATTTTCCTAAATTCTGATACTTATTTCTTTTTGATATACAGGGTATTATGTAACTCCTACCCTTAATAAATATTATTAGAAACTTTGTCAAGAGTGAAGTAGGGCAATAGGCTTAGCAATAGGGATTATAAATTAATATTTAAATAAAAAATAGCAAAAACGATATCAAAGTCGGTAGAATCCATATCGAGTATTTGAAAAGAATATTGGCAATCCCCTTTATTTTCATCGCAAAATCAGCACTAAAAATCAATTTGTTAACTGTTTTTTGTTATCTTTTAATTTACGCAGTTTTTTCAGATACGATCAGAATTACAGCGACAATTGATGCCATTTGCCTCCATTATGATGATATGATCTACTTGCATATGTAGAATTATCTATTTCAACTCAAGAAGAGTACGTGATTAAACCTAACCATCCTAATCACATGGTTGTGCTTGGCGGGTTAACGTTAAAGTAATTAGGCTTGGTTCATTATAGCACTGAATCAATTATCAGGCAAGATTTAATTAGATACCTGTAAGCGACGTCACACCCGTATGACGAACCTGATTGGCTTTAGAATCATGGAATAAGCGAATGCCACGATTTATTCAAGATGGCGTCTCTTGTAGATATCCGATCACATTTATATGCTGTTTTGTGCCGTGATGGCTCAAGGGATAGAGCATTCGAACCGGGTTCGAATCCTAGTTTATACGAATTTAGCATCTGGCTTGCATCGCCCACAGTGCTGACGTGAAATATCCTCAGTGGTGGACGAATCATGGGTAAGAGTCCCCTTGCCGTCAGACTAACCATGTTAGGTTTTCGTGCTTTTCCTCTCCATGCAACGCAAATACAGATTATTTTCATCAAAAAGTGCTCCGTGAAGGCAAATTTCTCTCAATACTTGGTCCAGGAGTTCCCTTGTCTTCTGATGGGTTCAAAATGACAAGGCTACCAGATTGAAAATCAGCAGTCGTAAACCAAAATATTGAGTTCTCTGTTCCACAACTGTTATTAAAAAAAATATATGCTATTTTAATTGAGCTTTGCAAGAGACCTTTAAATTAAAAACATGCGTTGTATGATTGCAATGAATTCATCATTTTATGTAAAATACGCGTCTTGTTAGTATGTGAAGCAGTTTGCATTGGTTGCTGACGATATTTGTGTGTTGTAGTTTCCTTGGTTTCTCCCATCTTTTCATTACTATTCTACAGAAGTTCAGTTTGACTATCATGGCTTCCAAATTTTCTAATATTCCCTGATGAATTTCTTTTTATATTTTGTCCAAGAAAAATAAATATCGTAATGTGAATGGAATCGGCGGAAAAATCGTTACAAAACTTGCAAAGGAATATAAATCAGTTACTTTAAACAAGTAATCTAGCAAAAAAAATTCAAGTCATCCTCTACTTAAGTCAATAAAGGAAATTTTTATTTTAGTTACTTTTTATTAAATAATTAAAATTTTTTCCACCATATAAAGCTAAAATTAATTAAATTTCATTAATGAACTATTATATGAAAAACCCGTATTAGCCTCAAGTGTCACCCACGTAAGTTTAAAAAAATGTATTTGAACTTAGTGTAGTATACTTTTATTCATCTGGAAGAAAGTGACGGGACAACTGTAAAGTTTGGTGGAGGAGGATTGATGGTATGGGCCTGTTTCTCCTGGTATGGGGTTGGCCCACTGGTGAAGGTTGATGGTATGGTGAATGCCGATGGATACTGTGATATTCTCGACAATCAAGTCGTTCCTACCCTGTGAGCAACGTACGATATGGATGATTACTTGTATCAAAACGACAACGCAAGATCCCATGTTGCAAGGAGGACTGTTGATTGGTATGCAAACAACAATGTTAAACGCATGGAGTGGCCGGCGCAGAGCCTTGATCTTAACCCAACTGAACATTTCTGGGACGAATTTGACCGTCGGTTGAGGGCCTGCACCCCACTCCCCAAAAGCAAGCATGAACTATGGAACTTCCTGTTAAACGTTTGGAAGGAAATTCCTCTTTGCCACTATGGCTAGTTTAGTGGAAAGCATGCCCAGAAGGGTTGCAGCTGTGATCGCAGCCAAAGGAGGCCCTACCTCCTATTAATTTTAATAAATATGGGTTTATGTCGTTATAGTGTCATATCCCGTCATTTTCTTCCAAATAGTGTATTAACGATTAAAAACTTGAACAAGATATATAAATATAGATAGAAAGAGTGTGAACCAATGGTAAGAATTGAAAAAACAAAAGGCAACTATAAAAGTATAAATTCTGTGACGAGGACCACACGTGCTACCACGTCATGTTCTTTATTGAATTTATCTGACACAGCGAATATAAAATAATGAAATATTCAAATGTGCGCAATGAGCTATCCTTTTTGTTCAAATAGAGCTATAAGTTAGAAATTACCATTGATGTTATTTTCAAACTGAATTGCTTATACCAAAACTTAAAACAATGACCAACGCTTAACTCATCATAAAATTAAATTTCGGTTTTCGCTCATCCCTATTTAATGAATGAATTAATATAAGAAAAAACTGTATTAACATCATTCACTACAAGTTTCATAAAATGTATTTGAAAGTGAGTGAATGAATAAAGAATATTTTATTAAGGATTGCAAATTTGAACAAGATATAGGAAGAGTGTGAACTAATAGTAGAAATTGAAATGAATAATCGTAATCAATAATAATTGAAGTTACTTAAAGAAAACCTAATTAATTTAGATAAGAATTCAGAAGTGGATGATTTTAATAAAAAAATAAGCAAACGAGATTTTTTAAATTAAAAGCGTTACACCTGTTTTTGAAAAAAAGACATCAATTAAGTAATTATATGGAATTTAAATACCATATAACATAATTTAAGATAACTTATTGATACTGAATGTTAATTTATATTCAGAATATTTCGATTATCCGAAATAGGTCAGCTCCGTCGGATAGTCAGGATCATGAAATTGGAAAAAGAATTCACCATGAAATTGTAAAAAGTTGTTTTCCTATTCTATAGGGATTTCATAGAAAGAAAAAAAAACTAATTCATTTCCTGACCACGAGATGTTTTTTTTTCTACTTAAATATTTAAAAAATCTATAACAGAAGTTCTTAGATTAGTTTTTGACTTTCAGTATTTTCGAATTGAAAGGGTTTTCTTTTCGGTATTTTTAGAAGGGGAGAAAAATATAAATATTTTATATTGTTAAATGAATTTTTCGGTGTGGTCTCGTGTTTTTATTGTTATATTTTTTTGTAGGTTTTAAAAGAAAATTATATATTTAGTTTTATGTTTGTTTTCATGTCTGATTACAGATGCGTCTGATATCAAAACAAAGTCAACTAGTTCTGCAGATGATATTCCTGGTAAGTGAATTTTTTTTCTCAGTAACTCGAAAGATATTTAAAATCATAAATAATGAATACTGTTTCATAATTATCTAAGGCTGATATTTGCTTATATTATTATTTTTGTTTAACTGTTTCCGATAATACTTACTTTTGTGCTTAAGAATGACAGTCTTTTAAATATATCTTCTATGTGCAAGTGAGAAAAAATAAGTACTTCAAAAATAAGAACTAAAAAAGAAAACTAGACATTGAAAGAGAAAAAAAATCAGATAAGTTCTACTTTTAGCAATCACAATCTGTTTTTATACATAATACGTGACTTTCGAAAAAATATCATTCACAAACCTGGCATTGTACATTGCCGTTTCTGAATAAATAAAAAAGTAAATTTAAACAAAAGCGATAAAATTTTTAAAAATCATGCAAAGTTTTTAAAATTTTAATTCACCATGAAATTTCTTATGGATCAGATATTTTCGTCTGGTGATTGAATATTTTTACATTGATTGATAGTATATGTATAAAACAATTTATATTTGTTGTTTTTGAAAACAATTTATTCTGCTTCATTCATGTTTTATTAATTCAATCAAAATACGTAAATATGAACGATATTTTTTTCATAATTCTCAATGTATTAAAAATATTCCATAAGACATTATCGTTTGGTGAACGAACATTTTCACAATGATTGATGGTATTTGTATAAAACAATTTATATTTGTTGTTCTCGATAACGACAATTTATTTTGCTGCATTCATGTTTTATTATTTCAATCAAAATGTACAAACGATATTTTTTTTCATAATTCTCAATGTATTAAAAATACATATTTGATATTTTTTTTTCAATCGAACAGATAGTATTAATCATTTACCATCAAGAAGTATTCTTTTGTGTTTCGATTCTGTAGTTTAAAATGAATAGCAAGAAACTACGAATTGTTTCAACACAAATATTTCGAAAAATGAGCGAAATAAATCTTCTAGGAGTAATTTATCAAATGGTTTTCCACTACGTTGAAAATGCCATTTCCATATGGATCGAAAACTACCATTTGGAAAAGATACTTCAGAAAATATGTTTTAAAAAAATAATATTCAACAAGAAACATCGAAATATTGTAGATGTTCAATAAAAAACAAACTGTTGATATCAAGTTTTTTTTCTCCTTTTATCTTTCTTAAGACTAAAACAAATAATTAATTACCGACTAGAATTAATTGATCGGATATTTTAGAGCTAAGCCTAATTGTAAAATCAATAGAAGAAGCTGGATTTGTAAGATATTTTTAATTTAAAAGTAATTTAGTTCAAGCGTTGAAAAGAATTTGAAAAGTTGAAGATTCGGGTAATTTTAGGTTATTTTGTTGTATGTGAAAGGAAAAACTTGTTAAGGTGTGCAAGTAAGCAAAGAATAAAAAAAAAATTATTATTTTTTTTTGCTGTGCTTGAATTTAACTGATAGGTAAAAACGTATGGAGAAATTAAAATCTATTAATATATGCTCTGCGCGCACAATACTTTAGATTTTTAAACAGCTCTTAAAAATTTCATGCGTAAAAAAATGAACATTTAAAATATTGTGTTCAGTTTAATATATTAAAGGTGTTTCTTCCTGGTTAACATTAAAAATTAAAACTGTATAGAAGTTATCGACACTTGATATTATAAATACATTTGAGGTTACGATAGACTAATTAATAGAGCTTCGTAAAGTTGGCGTAGTTTTGCAAATACTTCTCACAAACAGAAAGAAGCGTCAATGATAAAGATAGAGAGCTGTGATTGGTCAGGGGATAGAGCTTTCGCCTTCCAATGAGGTGAACCGGGTTCGAATTTCTCGATACAAATTCCGCATCCGGCTTTTCGGACCACAGTGGTGACTTAAAATATCCTCAGTGGTAGACGGATTATGGGTAAAGATTCCTTGCCATCAGGCGAACCGTGAGAGGTTTACGTGGTTTTCTTTACAATATAAAGCAAAGTGGGTTAGTTCCATCAAAAAGTCCACCACGGAGGCAAATTTCTAACTATACTAGATCCAGAGGTTCCCTTGTCTTCTGGATCGGGTTCACAATTACAAGGCTAGGAAGTGATAATTGGTAGTCGTAAACCCCAAAAAATTGGGTCACTTGTTCAACGTCGGTTATAAAATAAAACACAAAAGATGGTCGTAGATTTCCTAAAACAGAAATTCAAACATTTAACTATGAAAAGGAAATAAAGAAAATATATAAAATAATAAAATAGAAAAAAAAAATTTTAAATTAAAAACACTAAGAAAAATAAAATTTACAATAAATAAATCTTCCAGTAATTTTCAAATAGTAAAAGTCAAAAAAGGAATCTCCTAAGCTACCCATATTGATTTAATTGCACTAAACTAAAAATACAGATACAAATAAATATGATAAAATTAAATTAAACTTACAAATATAAATAATTATTAGAAACATGCGTTCTGATTGAAATTCTTCTTTTTTTTTATTATTATAGCAGTAAGTAACAAAAACTTCAGAAATGATTCTTCTGTTTCGACACAGAAAATGATTCGTTTGATCATGATCAACTTGTGATAGTCAATATTTTATATCAACGCAATGTTTCTTTTGAATCGGCACTTAGTGCCCATTTGTTTTAAAAATTATAGTTGACTATACATTATTTGGGTTTATGGAAATACGCTTCAAAAGCGTAACTATGAAAAATAAACACACAGTTTCAAATAGTTTTCAAAACGCTGATTCAGTGACACCACTCTTAACCACGAAATTATTCACATTATTTTTTTTGTACTCACCTGGCATAAAAAACTAAGGATAAATAATTATTAAAAACGTGCTTCAAGCTCTCGGTCATATTAAGTTTTTCTTTTAAATGGAGCTGTGAAAAATAGTAATCGTCTGCAATATAAATTGTAACAATGTGTGATGAGATAGTTTATAGAAAATAGTAATCGTCTGCAATATAAATTGTAACAATGTGTGATGAGATAGTTTTCAAGACACTAATTCGGTGACACCACTCTTTACCACGAAAATTATTCAGGTTTAACTCACCTGACATAAAGAACTAAATATAAATAATTATTTAAAACGTGCAACAAGCTCTCGGTGAAATTAAGTTTTTACTTTTTATTTTTTAAATGGAGCTGTAAATAAAATAAGAATCGTCTGCAATTTAAATTCCAACAGTGCTTAATGTGATTCCTATGAAATAACTTTCAAAACACTAATTCGTTGACACCACTATTTACCACGAAATTATTAATGTTATGCTTCTATGTACTCATCTGACAATAAGGTCTAAAGATAAATAATTATTAAAAATGTGCTACAAACTCTCTGTGAAATTAAGTTTTTCTTTTAAATGGAGCTGCAAACTAAAATAGGAATCGTCTGCAATGTAAATTGTAACAATGTGCTATGAGATAGTTTTCAAGACACGAATTCGGTGACACCACTATTAACCACGAAAATTATTCGCACTTATTTTTTAAGTACTAACCTGACATAAGGAGCCAAAATTAAATAATTATTAACAACGTGCTATAAATTCTCGGTGAAACTAAGTTTTTATTAAACGGAGCTGTAAACTAAAATAAAAACAGCCTGGAATTTAATTGTATTACCACGCTGTGTTTACTCTATAAGAAAATTCGTTCTAATGCCAGCAATGAACAACCCCATGCTTCGATTTTTCACTAATCTAAGCTAAATTCCATCGCTCTAAGTTGGATGATTTAGGAGTCTATAAAAGACAGACATTTATTTTTATATGTATAGATCTAGATCTATTGATTTTACAATTTTTTTTCCTTTTATCCAATATTGGAAAACCAATATTTTTAATTGCAATGGGAGTTTAAACTCACCTAAGATAAATGATGTACTTATTAGCAAGTTTTTTTTTCTTCGTTTTATGTTTAACATAAAAATTAATCTATTTCAACCAATGTGCATATTTAACGAGCAAAAGTAAAGATTCTGTGCAAAATTAAGTATATGAAAAATAACATGCTGAAGCTGTTTTATATTCTACAAGAATGTAACATTTCAAAAATCACAGAAATAATTTAAGAGAGTTCTTAGAATTTATGTGAAATTTTGTTAGAATTTATTGTAAATATATAATAGTATAGCTATAGTTTTAAGTTAATCGATAGTTATTTAATTTAATCACAAAGCATATTTTCTATTATCTAACTCTGGAAAGCCAAAAATTATCATTTAAACAATAATTTTTGATAAACGGATATGCAAAAAGAACATTTAAATTACCATGTTTTTTAATAGATTAAATGTAATTTTATCGGAAAATTTACGGATTTGTTATATACATTGAATTAAATGATAATTCTGATTAATAGATAGAAAATTTTTACTTGCTTCTGTTCAGTTAAGAGTTTTTTCATTACTTTCAAAATTATTTTATATTGGTAGAAAATCCTTATTTTTTTTATTAATGCAACAGTTCTGATAAGATTAAAATAGCATATAGTACTCGTATGTATCCTGTAAATAGAACTGTAGTGTATCTACCACTGCAAAAATACAATTCCAATTCACTAGTATATAAGACATACTAACTCGATTCTATGTTGGGGTACCTTTTCGAGGACGAAGGTTGACATTGTCGATAACTACTAGCCCCACATTGGTGACCCGGACGTGATGTGAACACGCCTACCTGGGCAGAAACTCCCACTTCGATTTGAACACTCCTACTTCAATGGATGATCCACATCGAACAGTTGACTTGCTACTTTTGACTCCGACATTATCCTCCTCCTCGCGCTATAGCTACTCAGTATCGATCACACATAACGTCGCCTTGGATACACTCGACTGTTAATGACAACAAAGGAGCGGCCACGATCACGACCTTAATATAGCTCTCACGATCAGCATTTGTGATCTAAATACAGCTCTCTCGGCTTCTCACAAGACGGCAATGAATCAACAAGTGGTATCCCGTTCATTGAATTCTATCACAGATAAAATTCTGGTCGGGGATTACGGTAATGTATCTACCACTACAAAAATACAATTCCAGTTCACTAGTATATTTGGGGTAGATGAAGGTTTCGTAGATGAAGGTTGACATTGTCGATAACTACTAGCTCCACAGAACTATTATTCAAAAGCGTAGATTGATGTAAATAAACATTAATTTTTATTTTTTACTTTCAACGCGTATAAACTGATACGAAAGAAAAATATGTTAAATTACAGTGTCTATTTAAATTGAATATGAATATTTTTGGTTATTAATTCGTTGTTGTCATGCTAGGATTTAAAAGAAAAATTGTGTTTACAACAAATGCAACAAATTTAATTCGAATTAATTATTGTGTTAAATTTCTTGTGGATAAATATAAGTTCTGCTTCCGTTAGTGCATTACAAAATTGCACTATCATTGAACTTAAAATTTGAAACAAAAGAAAGAGCTACATCTTTGCTTATATCAGGATTCAGCAGCCAATCAGATTCGACACCAGCCCAAATCAAAATTCTTGATGGTCCCATCAAAACATTTTGATGGTTTATGTTGGTTTCATTCAGTACTATTCGTGATGGTTCAACATCATTTGTTGGTTACCATCATCCAACATTTTCTATTATGCGTTCATGATTTTTGACATGCCAACAAACTTCCATCATTCCATGATGGAAAATGCTACTTTAATACTATGATGGTTAACCATCAAGAGAAGTTTGATTCTCATGGACCAACAATCCGTCCATGAGGGTTCCAACTATACATTTCCATAATCGTTTAATGGGAAGTCTAGTTGATTCTCAAGAATATACCATAAAAAAAAACTTTTTTTATGTCGGACCATCATAAATCAGTCTGAATTCCTACTTTGGGGTGATGGTTATTTATGTTGATAACCATCAAAAAATATAATGGTTCATGATGAAATTATTGATGATTACCATCATGGTTATGTTGGTCCATCAATGAAAAACCAGCAAAAATTTTGATTTGGGAGTCGATTGCTGGTTCTTACCTAAATACAACCCGAAAATTGATTCAACCTTGATAATAACTAACCCTAATGACTGTAACGTTAATTTGCTTGTCATCGCGTATATACGCTAACATCCGATTTCAACAGAATTCTGGAGTTGCAGGTACTCAATTGCAAAAGGTCCTTTTTTTGGAAATATTACAAAGAATTTGTGAAAATAGAGTCGCAATTTTGTAAAAAAATTTACAAAAGTGAATGTTTTACCTCGATAGTTTGTGAATAGATAAGCATGATATTTAAAATCTAAAATTAATAGGATTCTTTCTGCCAGAGGCCCTGGTATTCAATGTATAAAAATAAAGTCTTGTATTCGTGTGAGAGAGACTTGTTTTTCAATCGATATACAGTTTTTGGACAGATTATTAGACGTACTGTAAGATTCTATGTAAAATCTTAATTATCATGTGATACTATACAGTTTTATTGTTTTTACAAGACTGAAACCGGTTTGCACTTGTTCACGTTCGTGTATCAATGGGTTAAATTATACAATATAGTATATAAATTCAACGAATAGATTAGACTATATATTATATAAATATAGAATATTTATTACATCAGGTGTTATATTACTATATTATAATAATTAGACCAAATTATATTAGGTGCACTGTAGTGTTTTAATAATTGTTTGTTTTACTCGAGTTTATATGCAATACTTTTGTATTTAAACATACATGTAATGGATTTTTATTCAGGAGATTTTTTTATATACTTCCTATTTATATTTATTTTTAACGTATTGCAATATGATGTTAACCAATCGATACACGAAAGTAAACAACTATAAACCGGTTTCAGTCGCTTAAAAACAATGAAGCTGTATAGTTTCACCTGATAAATAAGATTTTACATAGAATCTTATAATTTTTCCGGGTACTGTAAAATAGTAATTAAAATAACATATTATACTACCAAAAGTACAGTATTAAACTATCTAAAGCAAAGTATTTGAGCATCTAAAGTAAAATATCAAATTAACCAAACTTTACTGAATTTTTATTTCCCAATTTAGAATATCCAGAGCTTCAAGCAATCATTGGATCCACGGTGTATTTGCCATGTAATCTCAGCACCCCATCCCACGACGATTCCATTTCTTTGGTTCTGTGGTATAAACGCGAAAATCCAAATCCAATTTACACCCTGGATGCTCGCAGTTCCTTCACAGCTGATTCAGCCAAACACTTCTCGAGCAAGTACTTGGGATCAAGAGCTTACTTTAATGTCACAATTAGAAATCTGGGTCACTTGAGACTGAATCCGGTGACGGAAGAGGATGCGGGAGAATACAGATGTAGAGTGGATTTTAAAAGAGGTCGCACTATGAGTAGATGGATTACGTTAACTATCGTTGGTAAGTAGTCGACAAGCTTATTTTTTTTTTGCAGTTAACTAGAAATAAGGGTTAATGTACTCATGGAGAGATTATCCGAAATGATTTTCCGGATTTATGCCTATTGAAATTTTTTTAAGACATAAATTCAAATCGTTTTAGCTTAAAGCATGAGGAAAGTTATATTCAAGTGATTAAGAGCCAGTGGTGTCTTGTAAAAATCGGCCAAAACAAGTAGGGTTGAACATTTTGGAATTTTTATTTTCGAACTTTCAAGATATGTCCTTTATGTGAAACTAAAAAAGAAGTGTTTTTTATTTTTGCACAAATAAATAAATAAATAAAAAAATTGCGATCAGGCAATCACAGGTTACCCATTGGCAACATGGTTGTTGTCTAATTTTGAACGTTTATTTGAACGTAATTTTGAACGTCCTTTCGTTTTTCCGTTTGTATGTAACGCTTTAGGTATTCTCGTCTACGTTCTTTGGCTTTAGGTTTTTCAGCGTCCGTAAGTTTAGGCCTTGGTATCGTTTTTTTTTCTTGCTTCAACTCCATCGTTTGGGACAGTGTCAATCAGTTTGTGACCCTCTTTATTTTTGAGATATTCACCTGAATTAGCATTGAAAACGATCCAGTTTGAAGTGTAGGTTAGAATTTTTGATTCCAAATTAAAACAACAGGAACAAAAAATATCGTTCAAATAATGAAATTCTCTTTTATTGACAACTCAAGAAGTATTTATGGGATCCCTCTGGTCTCATATCTCAAGAGTAAACTCATTAACTTGATGAATAACAAAATTAAAAGTGAAAAAAAAAAGAATTCTAAAAAAAATTATCAGACAGCAGCGGTCACCATAGCAACGCATGCAATGACGACGCATGCGCACTGTTGACTATTACTCTTGAACACAGTTGAAAAGTGTGATGCTAACTATTAAC